CCCGCGGGAGCGGATGAGCGCCGGGCTCCGTGCCGTGAGCCGGGGCACGGCGGGGAGCGCCCAGCGCGGGGCACGCGGTGCTCCCCGGCCACAGTGACCCCGCATCCCCGCGATCCCRCATCCCCGCGGTCCCGCATCCCCGCGACCCCACATCCGCACAATCCCGCATCCCAGCGATCCTGCATACCCGCAATCCCACATCCCCCCGATCCCACATCCCCACAATCCCGCATCCCTGTGATGCCACATCCCCTYGATCCCACATCCCAGCGATCCTGCATCCCGCCGCGTGCTGGGAGGCCGCGGGGGGACATGAAGGCCCCACGGGCACTCATGGAGGCTGCAGTTCCTTTAGCTCCGTCCCGGGGCTCCCGCCGGGGCTGCCCCCCAGCCCTGTCCTCCCCACTGGCCRCCACCACCGTTAGCGTCAGAGTGTCTGCGGGCCCCTTCGGAGCCCAGTGCCGGTGTCTGGTGTCGCTTCAGCTGCCCAGGGATCTCCGGGACACCGGCACCGGGCCCACAGAAATAGCCGGCGATGCCAGTGACTCCTGACGACCTGCAGGACTCGTTAACTTGACACGAGACCTTGCTGTTTAATTACTACTGCTGGCCTGCTCGGCCCATGAAGCGCCCCCGCATCCCTGTAGCGTCTCCAGCCTCACTTCCCCTCTCCTCTGCCCTTCATCAACTGATATGTCCTCGGTGGGTTTTATATTTGACAGATCTCTTGACAGAGCAGTGTGTGCAGAAGTTGTGTTTATCACCCGGAAATATCTAAGCTTCGAAGTGACCTTTATGGGCTCATCTCCACCTGGAAAGGTGAAGGTGCCTAGCGCAAGAAGCTTCCAAAAACTTGTAAAAATGCAGCATATCCTGAAGAACACAAGTTCTGAAACAATCTATTATTCCTTGAGTAACTATTTGATAATCAGCATTTTGCATTAATGCAGTGCTTTATGATCTGAAAACTCAATTAACAATTAATTGTGAAGCAAGCTACACAGTGTCCACAGGAAGTGAGTATTCACCTACTTTGCTTGAACAGTATAAATGTCTGTAAAAGTCTTTGAAGATCGTAATATAATTAGTATTATGGTACTTTTATTCTATTACATATTTAAAGATTATTGCATCCATTTTACTCAAGGAAAATTAATGCTAAATGAAAGAAGAGAGCGTCTCAGTCGGCAGATGCAGCTGTGTGAGCCGGCCAGCTGGAGAAGCTGCCTGTGTGCCAGGCAGGTACAACTGCACAGTTCTCCAAGACCTCTGTAATTCTTTATTATCTGATTCTCTCTTTCTTTCCCACCCTCAAAATGCACTTATTTAGGCCTGTACTTGCATCAAGACACGGAACTTTCATACACAAAACACCACAGGGAAATTTGAATTTACTATCTATAAATGTAATCCATGGTTTTTATAGCTTGTAAAAGTGCGTCAGAAATATCTGGGATAATTACTAAGATAATCCGCATTTCCTTTGGCAAGAAAAAACACCACCCACACCATAACTAACAATAGCCCAGCCAGTTCTTAAGAAATCATTGTTGAGTGTAGCTGCGTTCACAGACAACCACTTAATGTTGAAATCCTTTATTGTAGCAAGGTGTTGGAGAAGTTTACAAAGAAGTGTGGATATTTCACGGGCTGTTTCACTRGTGTCTGGGATCAGACAGGCACGCAGCGCTGGGCCTGCCAGGCCTGTTCAGGACTCCTTAAATAGGCCAATTTGTAAAACAGGGCCAGCATTCAGGCTTCAGAGTGATTGTAAAGTCATTGAAAACACACTGCCAGAGCCGACCTGCAATTCAAAGGTGTCGAGTTCATCTTCAGGAACAACMAAGACAAAAAAAATAACAAAGAGTAATTTGTATCTTAACCCATTATATGCCGCTCAGTGGGAACTGTTGAAGAYGGATTAAATGAAGATAAACTTGACTGTTTTTCACCAAGCCTTGCGCAGTCTCTATATCCATACATTTCCCCACAAATTAACGCCTTTGTTTAGGTTTTCCCATCTCTTCAGTTTCTCAGATCTCTAATTGCAAACGTTTCAAAGCCATGAATTGTGTCTCAAGGCAGTTCCGTTTTATCACACACATACCTAGCACAAACCCATTTTCCACAGTGCCTGCTGCGTAGGGCACATCGCTCCGCGGACCCCGAGCGGGGCGACACCCTTTCTGTCGCCCCCGACGCTCCGTGCCTGTGGCGGCTCCGGTTCCTCAAGCCCAGGAACGCCCATGGACCWGCCGGTCTCCCCGCCACGCACCCCGGCGGCCGCGCGGGGCCCCGCGCAACGCCCCGCGCGCCGCGGCGACGGCAGGACAAGGGGCGAGCGGCGGCGCGGCCGAACGGCGCCGCCCCGCGCGGCCGTTGGCGGCCGTTGGCGGCGCCATGACGCGGGAGGGCGCGGGCGGCGGCGCGGCGGGCGGCGGGCGGCCCTCGCCCCGCCGTGGCGCGGCGCAGGCGGCGGGCGGCCCCGCGCCGCACGACGAGCGGCGGCGGGCCGAGCTGGAGGCGCTGCGGGCCGAGCTGGAGGGCGAGCGGCTGCGCTCGCACGAGCTGCGCCGCCGCTTCGCCGCCGAGGCGCGCGAGCTGAAGGAGGCGGCGGCGCGGGAGCGGCGGCGCTTGGCCGAGCGGCTGCGCTCCAAGTGGGAGCAGCAGCAGGCGCGGGAGCTGCAGCGGCTGCGCGAGCTGAGCCGGCGGCAGCGCGCGGCCGAGATCCGGCAGCTGCTGCGCTGGAAGGAGGCGGAGCTGCGCGAGGCGCAGGAGCTGCTGCGGCGGGAGCGCGACGCCGCCGTGCGCCAGGCGCGGGAGCTGCAGCGGC